ATAAGGAAAGGCTGAAGAGTCTGGGATTTTTTTGGTTTAGAAAAGAGACGACTAAGGGGGACCATGATAGAGGTTTATAAAATGATGCATGGGGTAGAGAGAGCGGACAGAGAGAAATTATTCTGCCTCTCCCCAAATGCTAGAACCTGAGGGCATCCAAGGAAGCTGATGGGCAGTAGGTTCAGGATGGACAAAAAGAAAAACTTCTTTATTCAATGAGTGATTTGCTGCCAGAGGATGTAGTGATGGCCATAGGGATATGCCGCTTTAAAGGGTGTTAGATAGATTTGTGGGAGATAATTCTATAGATGGCTACTAGCTATGGTCACTGAGGGGAATCTCCACATTCGGAGGCACTAAGCCTCTGAATCCCAGAGCCAGGAGGCAACATCAGGTGAAGTCCTCGGCCTCTATCCCATGTTGTTGGCACTCCAGAGGAGCTCGTTGGCCACTGTGTGAGACAGAATGCTGGACTAGATGGACCCCTGGCCAGATCCAGCAGGGCTCTTCTGATGTCCTTATCAGTGGTAGGCCTTGGCCTCCATGCCCTGTTGTTGGCCCTCCAGAGGAACTGGTCGGCCCCTGTGTGAGACAGGATGCTGGACTAGATGGACCACTGGTCTGATCCAGCAGAGCTCTTCTGATGTTCTTATGATACTTCTCCTTCGAGCAAGGGAACCTTTACCTTTACCTTTACACTGCAGGAAACATCGTTCGCTGCTATACATTACATGCGTATATACTAACAAGAGTTTATTAATAATCCTTCAGTTGTGTTTTCACAGGTGAGGACACTGAAATACCCAGGCATCATAGCTCTCTTAGTGACAGCCTGCAAGCTAGTTTCTGCAGTCTTTTGGCTGATCACAATTCTTCGAATCTCACTGGCGACAAAACTGCATCCGATGAAGGTGGTGCATATTCCTTAATGTGTGACGGCTTTGGAGATGAAGGATTTGCAGGTGACATGATCGGTAAGTGTTGATGTTGTTCAGCAATAGGGCTGCCAGCTCTGGTTTGAGATATATCTGGAGATTTTAGGGGTGGAGCCTGGGGTGGGTGGGGCTTGGGGAGGGGAGGGGCCTCAGTAGGGTATCATGCCTCAGTAGGGTATCACCCTCCAAAACAGCCATTTTCTCCTGGGGAACTGAACTTGGTCGTCTGGAGATCAATTGTAAAAGCAGGAGATCTCCAGGTGCCATATGGAGACTGACAACCCTACTCGGCGACCACAAGCTGCTGGGAGCTTATCCCGAAATAACCTTCCTGGAATGGATGGAATTATGCAAGAGTTTAAAATCTGCTTTCCAAATATACGCTGAAAGACTGATCATTTCTGATTGTTACCCTGCTAGCCAAAAGTCTCAGGGGAGTTTGCAGCATGAAAGTAGACACCACCACCCCCAAACTGTGTAAAAGTAAAACACCGTACATTTTACAAAAAAGTAAACAAAAGCTATAAACAGCTTTAATATTTTAAAATCATTATTTAAATTCAGTATAAGGGAACATACTTAAAACCCTTACTATAATATTAAAATTTCCATATTCCAGCTCTTTGAGAAATGCCAGTTTGGTGTAGTGGTTAAGTGCATGGACTCTAATCTGGGAGAACCGGGTTTGGTTCCCCACTCCTCCACTTGCACCTGGCTGGATGACCTTGGGCAAGCCGTAGTTCTGATAAGAGCTGTCCTTGAAAAAGAGCTGTTTCTGTTAAGAGCTCTCTCAGCC